AGAGAGAGAGAGAGGTCATGCAACACTTCTATACCTACACAACACCTTGCATCTAAGCACCTTATCCTGAACATAGAAACCAGGCATCACCATGATCCTAACCTTTGAAGGGCTCTGCATTCTTCTTCTCTCTACCAAGATATCCTCCATGAAAGCTGGGTCGAAGCTCCTATTCTCCTCCACCCTCAATATCATCAATGGTGGTCCAAAGGAGAAAGCCAAAAGGTGAAGAAGCCAAACACATTTAGCTGCAATGAAAAATGACTGAAGCAAAGGCTCAGGCCATGGCCTAGACCAATTGAGCACAGATATTAAGCAGCTCATCTTCTGATCACAAAACCTACTGAATTCTTCACTGTAAACTTTGGTCCCCTTTCTAAGAACTTCATTCCAACTCAAGTTTCTCAAAGAAACAAATGACGCAAATTTTGCTTGCCTATCTCTCTCTGGGTCTAATATAGTAGGTGAGCCATTCTTTTGGAATGAGCAGTTCTCGAAATCTTGATACATGGCCTGGTTTATCAGAGCTTCTAAATGATACAACACCCCTCTTGAGAATCTAGAATTGATGTTCAAATTGTATGGTTTCAGCAATAAACTGATTCTCTCTCTAAAATTTTCATCAGTGCTCTCGAGGTGGGTCACAAGAGTTCTGGAGAATTGTTTAGCCGAGAGTCTGGCCTCTGAAACAACCTGCAAGAACCCTTCCACCATAACTTCATGGCTCACAGGCATGGGGTTTTCCTTAAGAGTTTCCATTCCCTTGCCTTTCTTTGTGAGATTAGGTCTTTCGGGTACTTGGGTTTCTTTTCCTTGAACTGCTTGTTTCAGAGCAAGCTTTAGCTCTTCACAATATGATTCGAGGCTTGCAAGCTTCTGTTTCAGCTCAGTCATGGAGGATTTCATTTCCGATACCTCTGTTAAAGCTGTATCTCTCTTCTGGGTTGCTTCAATGAGCTCTTTCTTCAGGGATTCTAGAGGGAGAAACCCCCAGTCCTTGAAAGCTTGAGAGTTATCAGCTGGTTCCACCCTGTTAAGAGATGATTCCTGTTTAGTCTTCTTCTTTAATCGAGGGAATAGCCATGAAAGTATTGGTTTCCCATTCTTTTGAGGAGAATCGGATACTTGGGTTGTGTTCAATTGTTCTGGAATTTGATTATCTCTCATGATAGTCGCAGGCTTGCACTTGTTACAAGTTGCAGAGGGTTTCTCAGATGAACAAATGTGTTGTTCTCTGATGAATACACCAGATGATAAAGCATCTCTGCTTAATGGGCTTTGTTTCTTTTTAAAGGTTAAATCCGTCTCATCAGCTGTTTCTTCTTCCATTTCTCTTGCATCGTTGTCTTCGACACCTGTGGTGTCCCAATTTTGAGATAACCTTCGGTCCTCAGATAGTATTTGACTGTAATTAGGGAGGGGTTCTTCATCATAGCTCTGTGGAAAATCACAGCGTATATACTCAATTAGTAATAGAAACTTTGCCAATAAATAAAGCAGGAGGCGAAGCCAAAATATGATAGTATACTTAGTGTTGCTTCTAAAACAGATTTCATCACCAGATTGTTGCTTTTCCATGTTAGAATCTTGATTTCCAGACATGCTGGCATTTACTTGCAGTCTCTTCCCCCCGCCTCTCTCTCTCTCTCTCTCCCTCACACACACACACGCTCACACTCTTTAGTTTCAATAACTCAACCATAACTGTTCATCTTAACACTAAATTTCACTGCAATGGCCAAATAATAACAGAACATAATGCATGAAATAGAGAAAAAAGTGAGGGCTTCAACATGAGCCAGCAATGCGTATGCTAAAGAAACCACCAAAATAAAAGAAAAATGATAATAAAACCAGAAGGTAACAGGAAATGAAACTGAGCTGCTAATCCATTAAAGGGGCTCATTTCCTTCAGTATATGAAGAAGAAGAACTACAATAAGTAATACTCAAATGCCTAAAATTCAGAACAAAACCAAATGGAAACTGCTAAAGAAGAAAAGAAAAGGTTTATTGATGGGATTTTATCAAACTCACAGGCGTGAAAACTGGGTAGTCTTGAGCAGAGAACGGGTTCGACGACCTCGAACCAGAAGGAGAAGCACAGGCCTGTAACTTGAGGTTGGCCGGGCTATTTCCTTGAAGCAATGCAGCATGAAGAGCCCTTAACTCAGCGGCTTTGGCAATGGCCGTTTGAATTTCCTGCCTGCTTATTTCCTGGCTGTTGTTCAGCAGAACTGAAGCAGCCATGTATGAGACAGAAAGCAAACAACCCAAGAAAACAAACCAAATTCAGGACTGAATTCACAGCCAAATTAGACCAAAGTTTATAGTTTTAAAAGAAAGCCACTAAGAATTGGAATGCCTGCATAAACTGATACAACCGAGGATAAATAACATGGCGAGTTCAACATCATAATAAACCCAAACTCAGGGCTAAATATTGAGCCAAACCAGACCAGGATTTGGAGGTCAGAGACAGCCACTAAGAAGTGAGTGAATAACTTCAAAAACTTAATACAGAAGTATATAAAGATAAGTTGAACTCACCAAGGGGAAAAACCCAACTTCTAGATAAACCCCAAACCACATTAGACCGAAATTTTAGAGATTACAAAAAGCGAGAACAATAGAAAGAGAACCTTCATAAACTCTCACACATGGCTAAAAGATATCTAAATTCAACAGAAAAAAAAAAAAAAACAAGTGGTGAAATTCTCCAATAAGGAAAACCCAAGTTCAGGGCTAAACTAGGAGCAAAATTTAGACCCAAATCTAAAGGTTGGGTAACTTTGAGGAAGCCATTAATGCAAAGTGGAAGGTCTGGTACAAAGTGATTGGGTTTGCAGATAATTCAGGAGGGAATATAGGAACCATGAAAACAAATGTTTTTTCCCTTTTTCTACACAGAAAGAAGATTAAATTGCAGGGCTAGGATGAAAGCTGGTTATATCCAGAGCGCTTTTGTCCTGGTTCTCAGGGGAACCAAATTGATCACAGAAGCATGTGGAAGTAAGGGACTTTTTTCAGTACATTGGCTTTGTGGAAGACATAGTGAGAGAATAAATATCATAACCTTTCAACTCAAGAAATATCAGAAATATCCTCCGGTTAATCCAATATTTACGAAATTTCCAGGAAAAGGGGTTATTTTGATATTTCGGGATCAATTAGGGGTGGGAATTTCGGTTTGTTTCCTAGAAAGGTATTTTTTTTTGTTGTGAAAGAATCCAACAGCTCCCAAACAGTCCCGAATACCGAGACAATACCAACCTCAAAACTTTAAAGGCAAGGAAATAACTGCTCCAAATAAACCCCAGGTACAAATGTATAATTACGAGATTAGCCACCTCATCAACACAAGAGCCTCCTCTCTCTCTCTCTCTCTCTCTCTTATTTTCCTTTCTAGAATTGTAAAATTAGTGAATGGGGATGTATATAATCTCGGGAGGGAGCATAGGTTATTTCTACTCTCTTAATTAGAAGAAGATTTTTTTCGGTATGAAATTTTGGGAACTATTTAAAAGTTTACTAGATGACCATTTGGAAAAAAATTGAAATTTGACTTTTTTAACATTTCGATCTCATCATTTGAATATTTTTTTAATCTATATATTAGTCTTTTCAAGTGCATAGAAGACATACATTAATCTTTTCGAGCCATTAGTCTTTAGTTAATTCGAGATGAGATTTTATCCTCGGGAGTAAAATGCTCCAGTGGGAGTAGAATATCTTTTGGCTTACTAAATCACTCGTATTCCATCTCTCTTTAGAATCTAAATCACTGTCGTTGGGGGCTGATTTATGAATTAATTGCATAGTAGAGAGAGAGAAAGGAATCTTGATGTTTCCTATGCCAATGATCAGCACACATTGTATGTAATTTAATGGGATAAAAAGCCTTAAATACTCATGGTACTAGAAATTTTTCTTATACGGCTGTTGTTTGCTTCCTATTGAACAATCTCCAATTTGATTAAAGGATAAAGTTTTTGTAAAGCCTATGCTTTATGAAAATAAAATAAAACCTCACCTCAAATCCTTGTCTAGAAAGCACTTTCGGCAACAGAAATCCTTCTGATAGATCTAAATCAATTTCAAACAACGACAATAAATTTTAGATCTAAATCAATTTCAAACAACGACAATAAATTTTGAAACTAAAAACATGGTATGGATTTTGAAATAGATGGTATAGATAATTTGTTACAATATACACAATTTTTAGAGCTTAAAATCTTAATTTTTTTTCACAACTAATATCTTCAAGCTGAGATGATCGATGTAAAGCTTTTTCAATACTTGAATTGTAATTTTCGATGAATTATGAGATGGGATTTTACTATGGCTGCAGCCCTATCAAACTATTTTCCTCGATTAAATGCAGTTTGTATACCTAGAAGTCATGGGATTGCAGGGTATCAAGTACTTTTATTATGAGATTTTAAGAGAAATGTTTTAAATTTAAAAAATAACAAATATGTGTGTCATATCCTTGGTGTCACGATAGCAGTATGTACCACATGTGCCTATATTAACATGGTTTGCTTAGTAACTACTGAGAAACATGATTCTTGAGTGGACTTGGTCCATTAAAACCCAAGTTTGATTTCAGGTTCCAAATGGGATCGCTCAATTTGCGGCGTACAAAAAAAAAAAAAGGTTTCCAACTAAAATAAGGGGAGTCATAGGGCATAATCTAATCGCAAAATCCTGATCCAACTCAAGGCAATTTTGAATCGGATTGCTGATTTTTTGCACTTGGACAATCGGTTTGGGCAGCAAGCAGATTTATCTAGGAGGGTGGGGATAAATTAGGAAATTATAAAAAATTAACATCAAAAGTTAATTATCCATGATTGATTAATTGGAAAGAATAGGAATATTGTATGGTTCTATGGGGTTTCCAATAACTACTTTACTCTTTAATTTATTAGATTTCAAATGATTCATGTAACCACCACTCCACTCCACTCCGAAAGTGGGAAAAGTTGTGAAAACCTACTTCCACATGCGAGCACTTTGGTTAAATGACAAAAGTGTCCCCTACTCTTTTTGGACCGATAACAATTCTTTTGTGAAATGAAATGACCCTACATTGTTCTTCCCCATGAGAGATGAAAGGGATGGAGCGAAGGACCAGGGCCTACATTAAACTAGTAGCTGACAAATCCATTTTCCCCATTAAAAAATAAAGGGGAGAGAGAGAGAGATTGATCCATTCTTTTTTTGTGATTCATAAAAACATATTGGTTGGTTTGTAGGATCATATGAGGGAATGTTAGAGAGTGAGATACACAATGTGATAAGAGAGAATGATGGTGTAAGAGCTATTGAAATGCTTGTGTTTTGCAAGCAAGCCTATATTTGAGAGTGATTCCTCTTTGTTACTTCATGTAATCCATGATCGGTGAAAAGTTCATTGGGCGGGCACTCAATACTGTTGTAATTAGCATCTTGATCGTATTTGATAGATAGCCTATATTTATCGTGACGCTAATATGATGGCTGATATGCTTGTTACAAAAGCCAGAACTTTTTTAGATGCCACTGTTTGGTGATCTAGACCACGGAATTTTCTTTTTCTTGTGTTACTACATGATATGGCACAAATGCCCCTAGTTTAGGGTTGTAACTTTATGAGTTGTATTTTTCTTTTTATATTTAATGAAAAATAGAATAGGGGCCTTCTCCCACACCGACTGACTAAAAAAGAAAACGTTGTTAGTTCAGCACATACATGAATGTAGTTCACACAAACTAATGGTTTGTAGAAGCAAGAGAGAGCCCTAACTAAACATAGGATTATGTACAAAGGATATTTCGTGCATTTATCCAAGGAAATGCACACCATCAATCCAAAAGGAACCATGGGGCCCTTAAAGGCACATTATGGAATTGTATTTGTAAAAAAGACGAAATATCAGGACCACCATTTGGACCTCTGAGTCTCTTATTGAAGCATGGTCCATCCCCTCAAAAGAACAACTAACACATGCAAAGCAAACAAGGAAGTGGCCACGATGGATCGACTATGTACATGTGCAAAGGGGTCCCTTTAGGGCCTTATGTGAGGTCTTTCTCCACCATTTCTGGTTTTTAGTCATCCCTGTATAAACTAGTATTTGAAAAATCGAACCCGTCTCGAAAACCGGCCAATGGCTTAACCCGGTAACCAGTTTGCCAGTTCAACCGGCCTAACCGGGCAAGTCCAGGCCGGTCAAAAGCATGTTAAAAAAATAATTTTTTTTAAAAATATGAAAAGTATATTTAAAGCATGATTAAACAAAATATATCTAAATGAATTTGAAAATTAAATGAAAAAAATAGTTTAAAAAAATTGATTTGTGCCTAGGAATATTTTTTTGCAATTTTTCATAAAAGGTGGGGAAATGTAAAAATAAGTATTCATGGCCAAAACACTTTCCAATATTTGCCAAATGATAAAAATAAAATAAAAAATGCATTACAAACAAGTCTCTTATTTTTTTGAATTATTTTTTTAATACCTGACCGGATTGCTAGAACCGAACAAAACCGAAACCAGCCAGGGCTAGGTTTCGATCAAATCGGTCAGTTCCGAGTTGAATTGACCGATATTTTGCGAACACTGGTCATCCCTATATCAACATTGTAGCCTAGTTAAAAGAGGTTGCTAATTGTTATATGCCTTTGTTTTTTTGGGCGAATTTATATGTGCCTTTGTTGTTAATGAAGAATGTATTTCATCGTATATTCTTTTGGAGGAAACCTCATATATTTATAAAACATTTTGAGGATAATGTCTATCCTTTTACCATACACTATTGGAAAAGTATTTGATGTGATGACCGACTTGCAATTGACCCCTTTTTTTTTTTCTTTTTTTTTTTTTTTTTTTTTTTTGTTGGAGGGGATTTAGGACCTGAAACACATCCCAAATCACAGTAAAATTCAATTCCACTACTGACTGATTCATGAATTTTGAGCTCTAATAATGGTGCAAATTCAAAATGCATGAATCAATAAACATTATTCAAGGTTCAAAATTCATTTTTCTTTAGATTCATTATTGTTGTAGTCTGTAAAAATATGTATCCAAATTTACATTAATTATGGATTTTTGGGAGGGGTGGACTCAATGTGATAAGTGTGGCTTACGGTGTGCGTAAACCCAACCGAACTCTAATAGTTTTAGTTAGATTCACTACTTTCTCTTGACAACTATACATTTTTTTTTTTTCCTGTTAATGATAATTCAATATCTCCTTATGTTTTTGTACTGGTTCTTAATTCTGTGATTCAAACCTGCAACTAAGGGACTAAAGCGAAAATACTTCTTGCCTTTAGGTGGAAGGACCTGTGGCAACAACACCAATGTCTGATATTCCAATCCACCTTACTCACAAGAAAGGAAAATGAAAAAAGAAAGTCACATATTTACCCAAAAGAAAAAGAAAAAGCAAAAGAAAGCCTGCTAAAATGCAATGGCCCAAGCACATGATCTTGCAATCTACGACAGTTATGGTGGATTCCACCCTCCATGAGAATCACACCGAGACGTTGACATCCTACTCTGTGAATTTTGTTCATGCACTCTACATTATTGAATAACTTTAGTGGTTTTATAGCGAGAAAGAGTTTATATTAGGGCGAGGCTCTAAACAATCACACCTCAATAATTTTACTGGAAGAAGTTGTTTGGATACCCAAAAATCCTCAAATTGATGGTAACGACCTCAAGATGCCTGGACAAGAGAACAAATGGATTTCAAAATAATTTTACTAGAAGAAGTTGTTTGGATACCCAAAAATCCTCAAATTGATGGTAACGACCTCAAGATGCCTGGACAAGAGAACAAATGGATTTCAAATCTTGAAAATAGTGCATATTGTAATGCATTTTCGGACCATAAGTTTTCAAGTGTTCATAGATCGGCTCGATCTACACTATTTTCTAAGCTTTAAATTTTATACTTAGAGATGTAAATAAATTTTCAAGCCATCACAAATATTTACAATATTGAAACAACATCTTTCGACCCCATTTGAAGGTGCACCTT